GATTCTTGCTTACGAGTTTTCGACTTGTCTAAATACGATCTCGTATGACATTCTTTCAAGTTCATACGATTATCGTACAAATAGGTTCGAATCGTTTTGAGTGCGAGAATCGCCATTCGAGTTCAGTGAGTACTGCGGTACTGACCGTGGACATATCGAAATAAAGCAAAAATCATTCAAATTTGGAACTGCTGATAATATTAAGTACATTGAATTGTAGAGAAATATACATTTTTTTTTTCAAATTTTATAAAATTTCTTAATCCAAATTTTTTTTAGTTCTCGTTTCATTAATTCTTGTCTTAGAAAAGCAGTGATAATCAAAACACCCTCGCGCACTGCACTCGTAAAACTAGAAACGGCAGGCACAGAAACTCGAAATACGATTTTTGCTTTCGAGTTCTGTTTACACGGAGACGTTCAATATTGAAAGGTGAGGCGATTATCGCTCACGTGGACGGTCGATAATCGCAAATGTTTAGACGAGGAAAGTTTTTTATATTCTTTCGATAATCGTATCTTCGAGACGAGAAACTCTCTCCATCTAAATGGGCCTTAATAAGCAGATTTTTCTTTTCAGACTTCTACGTTGATATTATATGATAACTAGCTGATGCCTGCGACGTCTGCCTTGATTAAGTATTTCGAATACCCTACTGTATCCTACTAATTTTCATACTTTTAGTGGTTCTTCATCATTGACTTACAATTATATGGACGTCGGGTACCGCACTTGTAAGGCGCTAAAATCGTATACAGAGCGCCAAACTCCGCTTTAGTCTTCATTTGTTCGACTGACAGCGCGATACTGCGATGACATTACAATTTAAATTTCGAATAGGTTGACTTGGGACATTTTTTTCGTGGTTTTTGTATTAGACCCGTCGTCCATTTATTTGTAAGTCAATGTTCTTCATACAAATTTTCATACCCCACTACATTTCCTCTAAGATTAATTTTTATTTTATACTAAAATTCATCAATTGATTCTGCGTTTTAGACGTGAAAACGAACTAAACACAGTTACTTTCATATTTATAAATAAATATTGGTAAGTATAGCGAAACGCAATACAAAGAAGTTTTTTTAAAATTCATTGCGCTCTAGCTACGAGGCCATCAGCTTAAAATTACATAACAATATCATATAAAATATTTGTGTCGTACTGTCTGTATGCATCAAAGGCAAAAGCAGGGGGTCTACTCCCTTGCTTCATTATTTTTTTCCATCCTCTAAGTTCCATCCGAAATAATTAGTGTCAAATAAAATAAGAAATATACGACCAAATTAAAAGACGCATGATGCGAATGAAGTTTCATACTTGACATTATCTTTTGATTTGGTCAAGTATTACTTATTTGACAACAATTGTTTCGGACAGAGAACGGGAGTAGACCGTCTACGGGAGTAGATCTTTCTAATTTGTGGAATAGCCCCCCAGGCCTTAAATCAACATACCCTTAGGAAAGAAACTTATTAGGGGACTTTCAACTTCAACTTTTGCATCTATGGCTCCGTTGTTTTGCGCGACGATTTCGCCAACGTCAGGGTTGAAAGACATGTAGAGGCAGTGGTGAGATAGATTGCCGGTTATTAAAATACTTCGGCGGTTATTATCCACATTAACGGTTATATATATATATATGTATATATTGTAGGGACTTTCGTAAAGTGACAGACGACAGTTTCCCTTTTTTTATTTATTTAGAGGATGGAAAATATTGTTTCCATAGTCGGTTATTATGGTTAAGATTCCATAGAGTCCATATCCTCCAGAAGAAAAAATAAATTGTCAAAAAATCCGTTGCCGTCCGGCGAAAATGACTTTTAGGCTCCCAATTCTTTTTCTTGTTCATTATCTAAACAGAGACCCGTTTTTAGGTTAGCTTCATGAGATTTTTCTTGGAAAAGAAGTTTTGTTAAAAGCTAGTAATTGTAACGAACAATTTGTGGTCAAAGTTTTCAAAACATTTTCTGGTACTCTGATACAGCAGTATTTTTGTAGTTCAAGAGATCAAAGTAAGCCATTATGTAATCTGCATAATTTATTCTTTAATAGTATTGTTATATCAAATCAAAGTAGATGGTAGGAATTCGTAAGGAATCAAGTAAAATAGTTATTTTTCCAACAGATGTTCAAAGTGAGCACAAAGTTGACTAGAAGCACGAATTCATATTTAAGGCGCATGATGTCCTCCCAAGAGTCCGATGTGGTATTTGAAACGTTGAACAACGCAGGTATTATCACCTTGAACCGTCCAAAGACTCTGAATTCTTTGAACTATTCCATGGTTTCAAAATTGTTGCCGAAACTACAAGAATGGGAGAAAAGCAAGCACCTAGTAATCATAAAAGGAGCTGGAGAAAAAGCCTTTTGTGCTGGTGGTGATATTAAAGCTGCTATAGACAAAGTAGAAGGCCCACAGTTCTTTTTTACAGAGTATAATGTAAACTACCTGATAGGAAAGTACAAGATCCCGTACATTGCATTTATTGACGGAATTACTATGGGTGGTGGACTTGGTTTGTCAGTTCACGGCAGATACAGAGTAGCCACAGAGAAGACGATGATAGCTATGCCAGAAACGAAGATAGGCCTGTTTCCAGATGTTGGCGGCTCATATTTCCTACCTAGGCTGCAAGTAAATCTTGGATTATATTTGGGATTAACTGGTAAGTATATAATTTTATTTAGATTTTTATATGTTTAGATTAACACACAATTATTATTATTATAAGGGCTTCATTCAGGGCCTATGCATCCCTTCATCACTGCGACCATTGACTGATCTATTGTGATCGCCAATAATTACAGTGCAGAGCCAAGGCTGACAGCATTGAAAAACTGAATTACTTTCCTGGCTCCGACAGATTTAATGTCCTCTGGTTGTGGCATGTGTCTTCCCAGTACGGAACTTCGTACACCCATCAGGCGGTAGCATTGGGTGAGTAGATGAACAGGAGTTTCATCCTCCATGTGGCAGAATCTACATTCTCTATTTTCTCTCTGCTCAATATTTGACCTGTGCTTGCTTAAGCCACAATGCCCTGTTAAAGCTCTAGTGAGCATTCTTATGCCATTCCTGTCCAACAACAGAGCTTCTCTACAGTGTTTGGCACTGTAGGCAGATATCAGGGCTTTTGAATGCTCAGGACCCTTGTTCTGTAGCCACACTTCTCGGGAGAGGTGTGTACTCTTATTTAGCACAGTGAGCTTTGCCAGTCTGTATGCTATCCCTATGAAGGGCTCTGTTCCAACAAAGGTTTCCCTAGCACCAGCCTTTGCCAGTTCATCCGCTGACTCAGTACCCTCAATGTCAGAGTGGCCTGGAACCCAGTGCTGTATCACTGTATTACTTGCCCTGAGAGTGTTCAGTGTTTACACAGTTCTCTGCAATACTTGATGTTTGGGTGACTGAGGCTAGTGCATGTAGAGCCGCTTGACTATCTGAGTTTATGTAAATATGCTTGTCAACGTAGTCTCTCTGCCGGTTCAAATCTGAGATAGAGGAATGTCGTCCCATGTTCAGCTTGTAGCTGAGCCTGGGTCTCCCACCGTGTATGTTGGGTTCCATCTTACACCCATCGGTATACCATAGAAGGCTACCATCCTTCCAGGTGAGACTGTTAGTTTCCCAGTCTTCCCTAGTTGGAAATTCTACCTGATAATTCTACCTTTAAAGTTTTGTTTGGGAAGCATGACATCAGAAGTCATTCCCAGAACAGAGTGTTCCAGAATTGAGTCTTGGGCTGAACTCAATGTCTGGGAGAGCCATAGTAATAGTACTTAACCTAGTGGTAAGCCTGTACTTGCTGGCACTGGCCTTCCTCTTTATGAATAAATGCAGAGGAGTCAGGTTCAGCAATGCATTTAGGGATGCCCAAGGTGTGGTGGACATGACTCCCGTTGCTAGCAGGCATGCAATGCACTGAAGACTACCCAATGTAACAATTGTGGTTGTTTGCCTGACTTTAGCACTCCAAGCAACAGAGGCGTAAGTCAGTATGGGCCTCACAATTGCCTTATATAACCAGAGAGTCATCTTTGGTTTTAGACCCCAACATTGTCCTGCCATACAGTTACAGATACCTAAGGCCATCGTGGCCTTGTCGATCGTGTTAGCTATATGGTAGTTTCACCTTAGGGTTTGATCTAGAGTTATCCCTAGATATTTGACTTCTGCAGGAAAGCTCGCAGCCCTGCCACCAAGGATTTGTTGCACTAGTTTGTCTAGTTTCTGTCTCCTGGTGAAGGGGACAATGGTTGTCTTGTCCGCATTGATTGATAATTCGTTATCTTGAAACCACGCGGAAATGGTGTCAAGTGCTCCTAGCATAAGTGATGATATAGTACTATGGCAGTGCCCTCGAACTGTGATCACCAGGTCATCCGCATATCCCTGAGCGTCAATATTCAGTTCAGCCAACCTATACAGGAGTTGATCCACAGCAAGAGTCCACAAGAGAGGATAAATTACCCCATCTTGCAGGCAACCCCTTACTGCGGAGGTCACAAGCTGGTCCCCATGTAACAAGATACTAGCCCTGCGGCTTAAAAGCATGTTCTGTACCCATTTCTTAACACAATCCAAGTTTATTTGAAATTTACGAGTTTTCAAAATTAATGAAATACTAAAACAAATTCGGGACTATTTACATGAGAAAGCCAGAAATAAGCCAAAAAATGATGTAAATTACATAATTTATACAAGATACAGAAACTTCTACGTAGATTTACTAAGAAAAATTAAAACTTCATATAATAGTGACCTACTTAAACTGCACCAGAAGGACAGTAAAAAGTTGTGGAATGCAATAAATACTATCACTCACAGGAAAAATAAATCAAACATATCAGCTAAGATTTTACACATAAAGGAAACTCCGGAAGAATCTGTAAACGCTCTTAATGCTCATTTTACATCTATAGGGAGATCTCTAGCTTATAGTATATTGGAGAAACTAAAGGTGACAGTAGACTCACTAGCAAGAAAAGTTGATACAGCCAGCTCCCCGGTGAACTCCTTCTACCTGAATCCAACTGATTACTATGAGATAGAATCTATAATAAATAGTTTAAAAACAGATAGTGCACCTGGCATAGATGGAATAAACAATAAAGTTATGAAAGACGGCAAAAACTGTATAGTGCCTGCATTGACAGATATCATTAACCTAAGCATGGAATCTGGCGTCGTTCCTAGCGTATTTAAAATAGCAACAATTACCCCAATATACAAGGGAGGGGACGGCACAGATTACAACAATTACAGGCCTATATCTCTGCTCTCTGCTCTCTCCAAAGTCATGGAAAAAGTCGTTAACAAAAGGTTAATGTCCTATTTGGAAGACATGGGAATGCTATCAATGAATCAGTTTGGGTTTAGAAGGGGGAAGTCGACGGAGGGCGCTGTTAGGACTATGACAGAAAAACTATCATCGTATCTGGATAGCGGACAGCCCTGTATAGGAGTATTCCTTGACTTAGCCAAGGCCTTTGATACAGTGGCTGTTCCGATACTACTCAAAAAGCTAGAAAAGTTGGGTGTGCGTGGTACAGCATTAAACTGGTTTGATAGTTATCTGGCAGGTAGAAAACAACAAGTTAAGGTAAATGACACTTTTAGCACTGCTAGAGAAGTAGCTTTCGGCGTGCCTCAAGGTAGCGTTCTCGGGCCGACTTTATTTCTAGTATATCTTAACGACCTACCTTTGTTAAAACTGGAAAATGCAGATATAGTATGCTATGCAGACGATACCGCGATAATCTTCCATAATACCACCTGGGAAGAATGTTTTTTGAGTGCAAATAGAGGCATGAGCATAATAAGTAAATGGTTATCGGAAAACCTTCTGACGTTAAACACCAGTAAAACCAAATATTTGTGTTTTTCCAAAACAGCGGCTTCTGCTCCTAAAGTTCAATGTAATATAGTGGTTCATTCTTGTAACTCCGGCATCATCAATACAAATCCCCATTACTGCAGCTGCGACATCATTGCACGGTCTAGCACGATCAAATACTTGGGCGTTGTCCTAGATGAACAGCTTACATTTAAAAATCACATTGAGGTTACAGCTGCTCGAGTTAGAAAGATGATATATATATTCAAACAGCTGAGAGACGTTGCTAGTACCGAGCTCTTACACTCAGTTTACACAGCGCTATGTGAACCTATACTTACGTATTGTCTCGAAGTGTGGGGTGCTGCAGCAAAATCTCACCTAATTTGCTTAGACAGGGCACAGAGAGCTGTTTTAAAGGTAATGTGTAAGAAACCCTTCAGGTACCCAACATCCAAGTTATACAGCGAAACTCAGATTTTAAGTGTCAGGAAATTGTATATATTGAGGGCAATCACAAGTACACATAAGACAGTACTGAATGCGGATTACTATGAATCATTGTTAAAAAAACGAGTTTTTAAATTACCACTGCAGCCTGTAAAAACTGTTTTTGCCTCAAGATTCCCCCCTTTTATGTTTTCATTTATTTATAACAAGTTTTTCAAATTACACGACATGAGGGAACTGTCGGTGTATGAAGTTAAAAGAAAAGTAAAACAAGAATTATTAATTATGACTTGTAATGAGTCCGAAACATTGTTGGTACCTATAAAGTGATGAAGACGCTTAACTAGCATGACATTTAAAAAACTCACACACACGCACAAAAACACACACACACACACTCACACAAATACGCACAGACCTACTTACAAGTTATTATAATAGTTTTGCCCTATAATGTATTGCCCTGTTAACTTTTCATTTTATTTTCACTTGGTTAAAGGTAGTTGTGTGTATTAGTTTTTCATTTTTTCATTTAAATATATATTTATATCTTACGAATTTACGAAGGCTCTGTAATGTATGCGATACTCGTTTCACTGTACTAAACGTCCTAAGTGATAACCACGACACAGGCGTGGCCTAGTGTGGTTGTCAGAGTTTAACAAATAGTTGTATCTTGTTCTGATAATAAACGTATTTTATTTTATTTTTTTATTTTTAAATAAATAATAATGTGCCAGACAACCACACAAATTCCTGGTCTCAAACTACGGAATTACCTACAGGTACACTTTGAGTACCAGGTCAACGGAATTCACTCTAGGGCCGGAACAGTCATATCAATTTAACTGGTAGAATCAATTTAGGCAATAAATTTTCTAAATTGATATTGGGACCTCCACAATCAGCTCTCAATTTGCAAACTGTTGGGCCTCTAAAGTCATATTTCAATATTTTATTTTATACAGTCACATTTAAAGCATTTTTCTTAATGTTATTATTTATTAAGTTTCTAATAAATTTTGATACATTTATGACAATAATGTGTATTTATACCCACAGGAGACAGACTTAAAGGCAAAGATGTTGTAAAAGCGGGTATAGCAACCCATTTTGTCCCAAGCAAACGTTTATATGAATTAGAGAAGCTATTATCCCGATGCCAGAGTGATGTAGAAGTCAATTCTTTGCTCAGCAAGTTCCATGAGCCATCTGACGACTTCTCATTGGCTTCTAACATTAAACACATTAATTACTGCTTTGCCGCATCTACTATTGAAGAGATTATTGAAAGACTTGAGAAGGTCAAGAATGATTGGTCAGTCAAAATTTTAGAGGTGTGTATTGGGTTTGTTCCATTCAATGGGAAAATTCATGAGCATGTGAATAAGCCTTGTTTTTGAAACCAGGTATTAAATGTACTGAAGTGTATGATTATACTAAAATGTTGAAGATTTGAAATAATTTCTTTTTTTCAGTCACTTAGTCATATGTGCCCTGGTTCGCTAAAAATAACACTTCGAGCACTGCAGCGAGGTGCCCAGATGGAGCTTCCTCAATGCTTACAGATGGAGTACCGAGTTGCCTGTCACTGCACACAGACTCATGACTTCCCTGAAGGTATTTTATTTTACTTTATGGTTTCGGCTTTCAGTGTTTACTCAGTCCCATATCCACACAACTAGTACATAGATCGATATAAATGCAACTAATAATATCTTAAAACCCACTGCTTTGGTTAGACTGAAAGAATACTCAAACTTTTAACCACAAACATAGATATTTTTCAAAAATTTATTTAAATATAAACCAAACTACAGTTAAAAACTAATACATTTAGTATAGTTTACTAATTATTATTTGCGGTTGTAGTATACATTGTGATGAAACCTGCTTGTCAAACATGATTCACACCTCTTTTTTCTTTCAACTTCTTCATAAGTTGATTTAAATAGCAGTAGAGCTCATTGTGAATGAGTTTCTTCCGTGAAGTCCTGTCTTACCTGTTTATGTCACCAAGCAGTGATGTGAGCATTACCGTGTTCCGGTTGTGAAGGGTTCTGGGTGCTGGTGAAATTACGGGCACATGGGACTTATTCACTTATGTCTCAAGGTGACGGGCACAGTGGCAGTGTCTCTCAGATCTTTGCGATTTAAAGCTCTAAGTGGCACTGCTTCTGTTATGGACAGACGTGTCCACACAACTTGTTCGTCCTGTCACTTGGTATCGTGTGGCATGTAGGTGTAGTGTAAAGGGCTATTCTCCGCAATTTGACGTCTCGGGCGCCTATTTTGTGTGTGATGGGTGCAGTAGGATGTGCGCGGCCGTTTGGAATTCGATCATTTTCATTGACATTCCCTAATTCCTGACTTTAGAGGTGACCCCTGCCCAGCAGTGGGACATGGTTAAGGTTGATGTATCATTACTTCATTACAATTCACCAAAGCTATTATCAAGTTGAGTTGTATATAGTTAGTGTTTGAAACTTTTGAATGTATTATACATGTAATATACAATTTATCATCAACATTTACAAATCAATAAGTACTGTAAATACCGACTAAGGTCATATCACTCAAGAATATGACTAAATATACAAAACGTGTTTTTGGTAACAGTCATAGTCCCTTGTTAGTAAGTTAACAAGGTCACAAATTTGCAAACAGCCTTGTATAATTTTAGAATAACATACCAGTTTACATAGCACATAACAGTAGGGCTAGCACAACAAGATACTGTTATTCTCGCAAAGAAAACGCGCTTTGTCGCTCCCGTGCAAGTCGCGCCCTGTGTCGTGCTGACCTAATGGACATTGAAACAGTAGCTGTGTTGGTAATGAATAACTAAAACATTATTATAATTTGTTAATCAGCTGTTTCCGATGAGCTGAGGATGTGTACAGTCAACAGCACATCAACTTACACACTTTTGTTCAAATATCGCTTCCAGTGCAATGGAACAAGATCCAACGTCAATGTGTAGTTTGATGTGCTTTCTGTCGTCTGCACAAACTTTGTGTTTGAAGAGATTTTTAAATATGATTTTTTAAATTAGTTTTTAATTATGCTGAGGTTAGGTGAAAGAAACGACTTCAATTGAGTTCATAGTTGCTTTTGTTAGGTTAGTCATTATTTAAGTCACTGTACCCTTTGTTACTACAGTGATTGCGCCCTATTTGATGCAACTAGATGGACCTTTTGTTTATAAATAGTGACATTTTCTAGTTGACATTGACGATTAATATTTTAATTACAGGTGTTCGCGCTCTATTAATAGACAAAGATAACAAACCGCAGTGGAACCCTAAGACCCTTGCTGAAGTCAGTGACGATTATGTAGAGAGCTTCTTTAAAAAACTTCCTAAAGACCAGGAGCTTAAGTTTTTTGATGCCAAACTTTAGTTTATAAGTAATACTTCATATTTTTATCTCTTATATCCCTCAGGGTTGCTTAAAGAATTTACTAAAAACGAAGAGAATTTTTAAAATTAAATTATACTTGTAATGTCTCAAATATAGAGACTGAGCTTGAGACCATTCCAGAATCAATTATTTAACAAAAGTGCCTGAATGATAAATATTAGAGGAACATAGTTCTTGCTATATGATTAATTTGTTTATATAATATTAAGGACATAACTCTAAACGCATCTTTTATCGTGTTTAGATTAGGTACGTACTTTTTATTATTCTATTATAGATGTAATATTGTATTTCTATACATATTTGTTAAACTTTTTATATTTTTCTAAAACCAGTTTTATTGATAGCCGTTTTTGTATTGGGCTATAAATGCATTTATAACATTCTTTTTTGTTAAATATTTCTTTATAAAAGTTACGTTAAGAAATTGGATGTTGAGACTTAAAAAGTTTATGTAGATATTGAAATAAATTATATATATTTGTATTGGGATTTTCATTTCGAATTGCATCATTTTTAGGGAATCCTTATAAAAATTACACACCGTGAGTAGTGACCTTAATGGTCACGCATACGCATGGTCTTTTATTTTATTTATATATCAAAACATTAAGGCTCAACTCACACTGGTGCAGAGTCGTGACGCGTCATGTTTTTCGCCTATAGTAAATTCAACTCTATTTTCCCATTATTACGGTACGTACAAATTTGTGTTATGCAAATATGGAAACGGGCGTCGACGCTTGGATGCAGTCGAGTGGCTTCGCGCGTCGCCGCACGTCACTCGAGCGCAGTGAGATGTCAGACGCCGACCACACTGTGATCCGGGCGCACTAATGCGAGTGTCGTCAAGCGTTGTAGTAGAAAACAGGACGCGACGCGACGCTTCGATTCTGCGCCAGTGTGAGTTGAGCCTAAAGCTCATTTTAGTTCTATTTTCAAATGTTTAGGTTTATTTGGAAGTTGATAAATAATTGTAAGTTTTAATCATAGATTTAGTATATAGGTACTATGTTTTAATGATGAAAAATGCCATTGAATTTATAAACAAATTAATAATAATTTATTGATATCTAATGCAAATTTTAAATATCAAAGTCTTTTAAATCGACCTCTTACATTTTTGTAAGATTAAACACATTTCAGCGATACAGTTGTTAGATGTTCGCAGAGCTTATTATGCGATTTTTAAAATAAAGAAATTTGGGGTTATTAATTACAAACTAATGGTTGGGGTAGAAGTAGAATGAGGGTAAAACTCGATTTCCATTGCCGCAGGACGGAATGGCAGCTAATTTTTATCACGAAATTGTACGTACATACCATAATAAACTTTACGTCAATTGTGTAACGTACAAATTAAACACGAAACGGTAGACTACGAGATTTCTTCCGACGATGCGCGACCTGTTTTTTGGCTCGTATGAAATAATAATAAATTATCTGTAATAATCAAAATAATCGTCTGTAATACATTTCATTATGCTATTACTATTTCGTTACAAAGATTCGCTTCCATTCTGTTCCGCGGCAATGAAGTGAAGCTATAGCGAAAGGGAGTCTGCTTAATTCGATCATGTTTTACTACTTTTTTCATGTCGCATTGCCGTGCACGCAGTCATTCATGTGTCTGTCGATATCTCTCTGATGGGGAAATATCTTTTAATTCTAACTTGTAGTAGGTATAAAAATTGAAATATGGCCTGTGCACCTTGGAGTCGTTCGGACTTCGACGCTGCCTTTCGAGCTTTCGACGAAGTCATTCGGGCGTTGCGTTGACGGACTATTCGTGTGCCTACATCGCAGACCGAAAATTCGTAAGAAGCTAATTCGTATCAACGAGCCGATGCGAAAAACACAACGGATTTTTGAGTCTTATTTCATGGACGATTCCGTGTTGATAAATGTGTTGACTCCCTAAATTATTTGACACCAAGGCAATCAATAAAATGAAATTGAAGAACGAGTCACGAGAGAGAGAGAGAGAGAGAGAGAGAGAGTATCGGTCTCATCATGGTCTCCAAGTCCGTAGCAAAATATTCTTTTATTTTTTTTACATCCTTTAAGCAAAATATATTTTAATAATATTTTTAGAGAAAAAAGTACTTAAACTGGCTATGATTGGTACTCAAACAAAAGTCAAAAGTAAAGTGACATCCCAGATTTTGTTTTTGATCAAACAGTGTGTAATGTACCCACAGCATATATCTTATGTCTGTGGTCTGTGAATGTACCCAATGTTTATTTTTTATTTTCGACGACCGAACTTGAAATAACATAGTTAAAACTATCAAATACAACGAATTTTAAATGATTTTAGTAATATTGTGATATTAGCAACTTACAACAATAGCAACGTATTATTAAAATAGTAGTAAATATCGTAGGTTATAATTCACATTCGTAATGGTTTTGATTGTGACTCTTCCGTAAACGTCTTTCTGCGGTGTTCTAAATTTCAAATGCTCATATCACAAGCTTCGATAACACCCCAGCAAGCTAATGTTGACAAGATGAGGACATATTCGCGGAAACGCCCAGAATATAAAGAAATTGAAGACGTACATAATTTGTGTAGACTGTGCCTCGGCAACGCTAATGGAGCAATACCAATCTTCAAAAACAATGAATCTGGAGATGTTTGTGCGGCTGTTGCGTTAAGGATCATGATATGTGTTGGATTGGAGGTAAGATCTATATGCAAGATCAAAAAGAATCTACCATTTATAATCTTAGCACAGAGTACTAAAAAAACCGACCTCAAATGTTAGTTTGCTACCCTTAGAGGTGGAATATTTTCTTCAAATTTAAATGGGACCACCTTTTGGTTGATGAGCAAATATAATACAATGTAAAATTGCTACACAGCAATAATTTTTTATAGCATTGAGTTTCTTATTAATTTCTTTATCTTCCTTTTTTCTCTTTGTTTGTCGTATGGCTAATATTTCTGCCTCCAGGCAATAATGTGAGCATTCGCTTGAGCCAGTTCTCTAGGAGAAGAGTGTTGGTGAAAATGGGACTTTATATGTCAGGGTGACAGGTGCAGTGGCAGTGCCCTTCAGTGCCCTTTCAAATCTTTCTGAGTTAAAGAAGTTTTTCCAAACTCTAAGTCTTGAGAGTAGACATGTGTACTACTTGTTCGTCCCGTCATTTGATAATCATTAACCCTTAACCCGAATCATTATTTTGATCAACTTAACTGGAGTCGCGGGTCCATATCGACCCTTCTATTAAAAACCTATATAATTCCTAACAAAGTTACAATGAACATAATAGGGTCACGAGTGTACTAAAACAAGTTTTATTTAAATATAAAAATCAACGTTTTTTGAGCAATAGCTTTAAATTATCAATATTTTTAACTTAAACTTTTTGGTCCCATTTTTAGCAAGATTTTTTTTATTTTATTCAATTTCAAACTAATTTTATTAAAAAAATGATTCTTTATCGCTAGGTAAAAAACTTAGTGGTTTACCCACGTAGCGATGAGCTATCAAGCTCGACTCTTAAATTAACTTAATTCACTACAATATTAACTATTCTAGAGTATATGTCTACATTTACATAAGTACTATAGATAATATGCTATAAAACAAGATAGTATCTCTTTGAAATAGTTTTGCATTTCTTGACATTACCCTCAATGTTACTTAGCACTGTGCCTGGTAGATCGATTTAATACCCTACTTTAGCATGCTATATAAAAATTTTAAAAAAGAACAAATAAAAAACTATGCATACTACGGGGTTTTACTTATTTTCCTGTTAATATATATATATATATATATTTATATTTTGTTATTTATAAGTACTAGTAAAGTACATTATAAATGCATTACAATCTGGTCAATTATAATACTAATAAGTAATTTACATTTCACTTAAACTAATAAATAAACAAATTATACTAAGAATTTACCCACTGGCAATTTTCTTATTATCTATGAAGGCAAAGACACTTTTATCATGTGTTCCTTTTATTTAGTGTCACTGGCACTATTTAGTTTAATCATACACTAACACTACACTAGTTCAAATGGTTTTGTCAGTTTTAATCATCTTATAATATCTGTGTGGTCAAGGAGCTGAATGGCCTCGACGTTCACATGATGGTGAAGCCTGCGTTTGTGGGCTTCGGCGTACTTTTGAGCTAAATAAATTCTAATAATTCTAAATACTCAGAACTTTTGTTGGCGCTCATATGAAAATAAAAAAGAAAGACCTATAAGAGTAATGGCAAAAAACTTGCCATCTTCGTGTAAGCCAGAACGAATTATTGAAAACCTGTCAAACAAAGGATGTAAAATTTTGGGAACTGTCAACAAATTAAGGTGGAAAAACAAGCAACCTCTAGATATATTTATGCTAACCTTTACGAAAGATGAGGGCTTAATCTATAATATAATATCTATTATGGGATGTAAAGTCAATTTACATCCATTAAAGACCTCGAAGCTTGTACTACAGTGCAAGCGGTGTCAAGCATATGGTCACACACAAAAATATTGTGCTAAAGATCCCAGATGTGTGGAATGTACACAAAAGCATCTTACTATAGATTGTAAGAAGCCGTCAAGTGAAAAACCCAAATGCGTACATTGTGGAGAACTACACCCAGCAAATTACAGAGGGTGTATAGTCGCCAGAGAAATACAGAAAATAAAGTCTAAATATGCCAAAAAACCTAAGAACAGTAGGCAACAAGATGAGACCGCCACAAAGGCAACTAAGTCAATGCCAAAAGTGACGAAACCTACACCATGCCCACAGAACCAAACATATAATAATACAAGCCACACTTATGCCCAGGTAACAAAAGGTAAACCGAGTTTTGAAAATAAACTCGATAAAATACTTGAATATGAAGTATCACTAGATGCCCGCCTGAGACACCTAGAAAATGGCACCAAACAGGCTTTACCTAGAGTACAAAAATGATTGAAATTATGACGTGGAACTGTAATGGACTACTTAATCATTATCAAGAACTACAAGTAGTCGACACGGTAAAAATCGACATCTGCCTTGTGACTGAAACGCATTGCACTACGACTTCAAGTATCGTGATTGATGGTTATAAAATATATCTTGCATTACATCCCGATAATTTGGCAAACAAAACATGGAATTGCGATCATAATTAAGGCTAATTTAGAACACCAATTGCATAAATGTTAGGATAGACGAGCTCAAGCTGTAGCAATATGCATTGGCACTAAAGCATATCTTATAACTATAGCAGCCATGTATTGCCCTCCTAAACATTTACTGAAAAAAGATGACTATGTACAGTTCATCAACCACCTGGGAGACAAATTTTTCATTGGTGGGGACTTCAATGCCAAAAATGTTATCTGGGGTTCCAGAATGACGAGAACTGATGGGAGAGAATTGTGGAAAGCAATTCAGCAGCTGAAATCTAGTGTAATTTCTACAGGAAAACCAATGTATTGACCAAGTGATACCAAGAAAATTCCAGACCTAATAGACTTTTTCATTTATAAAAATATCTCGTTAATATAAATAGAAACTCTTTATGAAATCAATTAAAAATTACAACTTAATCTAATAATGATATTGTGGCTTCTGACTTTGCAGCTGTGTGATGGATGGACCACTTGAATATATTTTTACCTCGATAATAATGTTATTATTTATACATTATTATGTACTACTTGACTGTGCCATCTTCTCTAAATCATTATCAGATGATGAGTCACTTGAGTTAGAAGAAATATCGCATTGCGTATTTTCATTGTCACAAATGTTTTCTTCATGAGAAGGTTAAAAATCGCTCACGATCAGAAAAATCAATCGCGGATCCAACTGGATTCGGCGACAGCACAGCAGCACAGTGGAGGTATCCACTTCCAGTAGGTTTCAAGCTCTGAACGTCCAGTAGCTGCCGCACCTGGCGCCTTCACGAGCTTGGCGTTCAAAAGTGAAACTACGCGATTTTTAAAATCAACGGTTTTTCTGTTGTTGTCAGGTCCAAATTGACCCACGATTCCGGTTAAGGGTTAAAAATCATTCTTTAAATTACTTAAAAGTCTGTTAACTCGAAAGAATAAATCTAAATTTTTTTATTATTTTACAGATGACTAATGAAGACTGCCTTCCAAACACAATCTGCCAGGAATGCCACAATGAACTAGAAAGACATTATGCATTTCGAAAAAAATGTGAGACATCATATCAGAAATTAAAGTCTCATGTGTTGGCAGTTAAAGAGAAGGAATATAATTTGAAGATGGCACAACAGAAAGAGCAAAGTGATATGGTACAGACAGAGAAGGTTGACGAGCAAGGCAGATCCAATTTAGTATTTACCATTAATATGGATGGAACTATTTCTGTTTGTGAAAATAATGTTCCATCTGATGTATGTTTCCTTTTTTGTTTACATATCAGTTCACTACTAAATCGTCACCTTATTGCAAGAAGTCACTAACTGTCACATAAATTATATGGCAATTAATGACTTCTTGCAATAAGCTGACAAAATGTGGGTTTTTTTAAATATTCCTTGTTAACATTCATTCAATCGTCTATAAATTTTAAATAGAAGCACTCTTTATTATTTTGTAACAAATGTAGATTTAATTTAGAAGATGGGAAACTGCCTTATTATAATAGGATAGCTTATTTTATTAATGTTCTTTTTTAAGTTATGATTTTCTTAAAAAAATACAAAAATCGCTCTACCGTAATATTTTTCGAATGCATGTTAGACATTTTACCTTTACAGGTTCGACTACTGAAACTTCAATTCATACTCTAAATCCAACTCCTAAAAATTACGAAAATATTATTACAGTATGTTACAGAAAGAAATAGCATACATAAAAAAATACATTATGTATGATTGGTTGCACATCAGGCATAACTTGAAATAGTATTCCATAATCATGAATATTTGTCTGAAGAGTGATTATGCAAAAAAATATTTAATTAGACATAAAAGAGCCAGTAATAAAACAAATTCAGGAACAGAAAAGTTCTGATTTTTCGTGAATACCTTTAAAAATAATTCATAAATATTGCTGCATAAAAATCAAGCTATGAGATATGTATGTAAAGACTATCATAATATTAATTCAGATTAGGATATCAAAAACAGTTAAATAAAATTAAAAAAATATATACGCATTAACAACAGTGTTTGTAGAAAAGTTGATTAATTCATAAATGTATGTTTATTTATTTTATATTGTAAGTAAAAATTTTGGATGCACATGTAAACCTGATAACGTGTACCAATATAGAGTCAAGACAGTAAACCTAATTTTTAAATTAAGTATTGTTATTTCAGGGTCCCTTAGTAACGCTAAAAAGATTAGATGATAGCAACTCCATTTTCTCAAACAAAGTCGCAGCAGACTTTCTACAGCCATCCCAGCTTTTGAAACAGTCAGATACAAAATCTCAACCATTCAAGCAGTCTGTTAAAAGTAGCCAATTAATGAAACCGCTACTGAAAAGCAATGTACCTGATAGTAGTAAGGAACCAGTTCCTCAATTTAATGGAATTCAGGTAATAACGTTTCAGGGTCAAGAGCATGTCAAACAGATTCACAACAAACAGAGAAATTCAACTCTATGCCACTGTGTTGAGAATAAACCAAATTTTCAAGCTTGTTGTGGTTTTGACTGTACACATCGTGTGTATAACCAGAAATAGAGACAAAATAAGGGCCATCCACCCCTGGCAACTCATCAGGCAAATGGGCCTTATATAACTTTTAAATATCAATTCTCGTTTGCACTGAAATCAGAAATAGTAATGCAATATAAAAACAAATTAGAAAGCAGAAATAGTACTGTGCCAACAACTGACCTATGTGCACGTCTTCATATATTCCAAAAATATTCTGTATTTATTACAATAAAGATAATATCTTTAACATTCAGGGGCTGTTCCATTCGGTGGTGTGGGGAAAAACAGCAAAACATTTAATTACAAAACAAACGGAATCACAGCTCTTCTGTAATTAAATATTAAATGTGTAATTTTTCAATTTAAACTGGTCGATATGATGTGAAACAATTGACGAGTCGTCAATTGTTTCGAATTCAGGCTGGCCAATCGTTGCGCGGTTGTCATTGTAATGATTTGGCAGAACAGTTTTCAAACATTTCGTCTCTATTTCTGGTATTTTTATACTCGTTGACTTCACATGACAATGAAAATATTGTAGCTTACAATAATTAGCTAAAACAATTGTGATATTTACAACTCAATGTTAACACTGAGTAGGCTGCAGACCTCGGCGTGCAAGCAATGGCGATCAGTTGACCTAGTGTAAATGCGTCATAAAACCGACTCCGCGTCGAAAGTTTCCTTTTGTTTTATAATACCAAGTGTCAGGACGAACAATTCGTCGTGCGCCTGGCGGTAAGCGACACGTCTATTCATAACAATTGCAGTGCCGTTGCAGAGCTTTAAAACGCAAAGATCTTAAGGGCACTGCCACTGCGCCCGTCACCCTGAGACATAAGTTGATAAGTCCCAAGTGCCTGTGATTTCACCAGCACCCCTGCCCTTGAAAACCGGAACGCAGTAATGCTCACGTTACTGCTTGGCGGCAGAGATAGGTAGGGTGGCAGTACTTCCCTGGACGAACTCTTTCACAAGGACCTCTACTGCTACTAAACTCTACTGCGTCGATAAAGTGCGGTGACTCCCTTACTAATAAAAGACTGTAAACTTTTAAAAAGGTTATTTGATACCGCAAATACGATTTGATAATTAATTTATGTCTTTCATTGCAGAATAATTCCATAGCAAATGAGCTTTCACCAAACACTACAAATTATTTAAATAGCGACACATTAAACCCACCTTCAGCCGTATTACAAAATAAAGACGGCAATACAGATGTATCAAATAATGAACTAGAAGAAATGGAGTTTTCTACATTTTTATCCAGCATGTTGGTAGAACTGGGCATTTTAAGCCATCAAAATGAGACTGTAGAATTTGTGGATATGGATACTAAGATGCTGGAACTTGAAACTGGTGATGGGCAACAATTAACTGTAGAATTGACTGAGGAAGAATCAGATAAGGTAAGAATATGAGTAGTTCTGGTAACATGAGCGATATTCATTTTCATTTCATCCGCTGCATTCATTGCCCCTTTGCATAATTCTGCGTCGCTGCCATTAATTAGTTTCTTGAACCTTGTTAAAGTCATTGGTCTATCTAGTATTAGATCAACTCATACCACGTTTTCCGATTCCAGGCTGCTTCGAGATTATATTACTTAATAATATCTTGGACGTGATATATGCCTCACTCACAAATTCATCAGAACTAATCCTTTTGTGGATTTTTTCATTCCTGATTCTGTAGAACCGAGTGAACCATGAACTTTCTTATCAGTATTATATTACGTAATATAAGAAGCTGCAATAGTATAGATCGTAAAATGCTTACCCCTTACTACGGATCCAGTCTGATCGAAGGATTTTTTCTTTATATTAATAATTATAATATACTAGTGGAGTAATTTCACAAAAAATCATTGAATATCGTGGTGGAAAACATCCTGACATTCAATAAAACAAATAAAAATAAAATGTAAACTTAATTGCTAACCAAGCATCACATGTTGCAGTAACACTATTAAATACAGTTTAACATTTCAAAAGATTTTTGCTTATTGTGTGGAAATCGGCGGCTTCACAATTTGTTTAAACCACGAAATGATTTACGATGAAAAAACCAGAAAATGCTAAAGTGCAGCAACTTTGTGATGCACCGAATCTAACTTGGCTTTAATGCAAATAGAATTAACATTTAATCAAAATGAATCTTCATTCCTGGCCTCTTTTCCATGTCTTGAAAATTATAGAAGTATTTTGCGGAATACTATTAAGTTCACAGATAATCTTTTAACTTTTTTTTCACTTTGCTAACAAATGCATGGTGTTTTCAGGAACAACGTGAAGAAGTAGTAACAATTAACGGTGATGAAGGAAAACAATCGGTTGTCATCCAATATATAACATCCAATTATAATGAGAAACATAAAAAGTACGTACTGACAATACTTAATCAGTTAAAATGCAATCCTCAAAAACTCTATGTTGAGTCTGAATTGCAAGTAAAATTGACAAATTTGGCTAAACAGGGCTTGGTACCAGTATACAAAATACATGTATTATTACCCATTTTGATATCTGATTACTGATACCAATGGAAGAATCGATAGTACTCACTTTTCGCAGAGCTTGCTACCGGTATAAAAATATGTGTTGTAAATCAAAGTGATTATTTAATAACCTTTAAAAAATTCAATATAAACTAGAAGAAAGAAACACATTTATTGTCATTAAATAGTTTAATTATACCGGAATAGTATATCAGTATATAGTTGCTACAATTACTATATAGTACCGGATAATTTATACATAAAGCCAGTGAAACGGTTTCTCGTAATACAGGTATAACTTATACCGGTAGCGTCTAAATACCGGTATTGTAGCAGGTTTAGTGGTACCAGTTCTATAAAATACCAATATTCCAAGCCCTGTGCCTAAAGGCCAAGAAGTGTTATCTGTCAATATTTGTACACAAAATGTTACGTATTCTTGTAGCCGTTAGGGGTGCTACACAGTTTTGTCGTACAAAATTGTAAATATCGATAAATGCTATCGGTCGCTAGCGACCACGGTTACTGTAAACTTGTGATAGAGCTCGGGCCTTTTACGTGTATGTATACATATTTATCTATATCTGTCTGCTATGGGAAGGAAGTGTGCCAGCTTGTGTATTTTCGCCTTATTTACATTTGGATGGACTGGACTGTATAGTGTTGGCGCTATAGTAATTTCTGACATCAATATTTGTAATGTCGGTAGTAAGCAATAAGAAGAAAAAAATATTATTTTTTTATATGATTTTTGACAACGCATAGCCGTGATGTGGCGCGTGAATGAGCCTTATCAGAAATGAATTAAAATGTCAATAATTTAATTTAGTGGCACCTAATCGCATAGTTTTTTCACATTGACATTTATTTCGTCAGTTAGTAAATAAAATACAACTGAAAAACTCACATGTCTATTGCTACAGAATAATGGGTTGGCCAAACAGTACGTGCGGTTTTAGATTTGGGTCATGAAAAAATTCCATTTTTTTTTTCATATTTTTCCACATTTCACAGTTGACACCTATCAAAAGTTAAAAGATTTTTTTACCTATGTTTCTTTTTTATCGCTGTTGTCCGATTATTTTAATTTGCTAACTATACAATGCTAATTTATAATTCACGCGAAATAAAACTTCAAAATATACAGCCTTGGCCAAAAGTATTGAGCACTCATGATAACTCATAGTTTTTTGGGGAATATGAAAATGAAATAATTTGAAACAATTTACACATGTTAATATTACTATTTATTAAATAAAAATCAATATTTCGTGTGTCCACCCTTTGCCTTAAATTACGGCAGAAATTCTTTTTGGTAGAGAGCGGACAAGATTTTTACAGTCTTCAGGACGTATAGCGTTCCATTCTTGGCGCAGACAGCGTTTTAGTTCTTCCCTTGTATTTATTGGGTGGCGCCTGACGTTGCGCTTTAATAAACCCAATAAATGTTCTATGGGGTTTAGGTCCGGAGACTGGGCAGGCCACTCCAGAAGCTCAATGTTTTTTTCTCTAAACCATGTCATAGTGCTGGCAGATTTATGACATGGCGCGTTATCCTGCTGGAATTAGACGCCATCCATATTTGTATCGCCAAAAAGAGTTGAAAATGAGGGCAGCAACGCAGATTCCAGGACGTTGATGTATTTGGAAGAGTTCATGCGACCCTCACACACAAACATTTCGCCAACTCCTGAATCAGTCATGCAGCCCCAGATCATTATGCTGCCTCCGCCGTGTTTTACGGTTGGCACTATACAGGCTGGACTAAATTCTTCGCCTGCCTGGCGGCGCACAAAAGTCACAGCAGGTGTACCAAAAATTTGAATTTTTTTAAAAATGTAGTGTCTTCGGAAATCTAAAATATTTTTGTTGTTGAATTTTATTTTCAAATCACATTGTTTAATATCTTAAGAACGTCACGGACGAAATTGTCTAACACACCTCAAAGTTTGACTCGTCTGACCACACGACATTTGATCAATCTTCTTCGGTGAAACTTTGATATTTTAAGGCCCATTCATACCGAGCCTTCTTGTTGTTTTGTGAGAGCCATGGTTTCTTCCTGGCTTTACAGCCTTTCAGACCAACTTCCTGAAGCCTTCTTCGAGTAGTGCGAGCAGAAATAGGTCTGTTAATTTCGACAGAGAAATCAGCAGCGAGATCTGAAGAAGTTTTCTTCCTATTTTTTAACGACTCTCTCATTAACTTTCGGTCCTCACGATCTGTGGTGATGCGTTTGCGCCCTGTTCTGTATCTGTTACTATGGGACCCAGTAGCGGCGAATCGCTCAATAGTTAATTGCACAGATCGGCGCGAACATTTCGCAGTTTTAGAAATCTCTTCCTGTGATTTCCCTTGCTCATGCAGAAGTTGTATCTGCACACGTTGTTCTAAACTAAGTTCGTTTTTTTAGGCATATTGCAACAATATCACTAAATGGAACTAAACAAAATACCAAAAGCGCACTAGATCACTGGATGTGTACGTAACGAATGATAGTAGTGAACTGAGAAATAAATACAAAAATCGTAAAATGACAAATTTTATGGCACCAGGTGTTTTATTGCTAGTTACGGTGTGGGGGTCATTGTTTTTAAACCTTTGTAGATGCCGAAAAAATAATCCTTAACAATAAGACCTGTTTTCTGCAATACTTATTGTGCCCCTTCGGGATTTTTAGGGTGCTCAATACTTTTGGCCAAGGCTGTATAATCTAAACATAGAACTATGAGCGTTCGAATAATATTTTTGCAACACAAATAAAAAAGAATTTTGTTTTTTAAAATGTTACATTATCTATGGTGATTTTAAAAATAACATTTCAGCGCGCATTTTAAGATTAGGCGGGAAAGTTAAAGTTTGTAATTCAAGAGAAACTTTTTTTAAAATTTATTGGTGGCCATGGAAACAAAGTCCTTCAGCCGAAAACATAAAAATAAGTTTTTCTGTAAATATGGCCGCCACAAAGAGGATAGGCAATTTGAGGCGGCGTGTTTGGATTGACTCGGGATTCCTTAGAACGGGCCGATACGGGTATTTTAGTTCGAGATTCGTATAATTTCGCGTTTTAATATTCGATTAAGGCACAATAGCACTATACTATTCCACTTTAAACTAGATTTTACACAATAATTGAAAGTCAAAATAAAAACGACAGTTTTCCCTCCAAAAGGTCCAGAGCGAATCCCTCAAGAGAAACCCACAGAATGCATTGCAAGCATTGGTTTAAGAAATGATTAGTGCGAGTCGCGAGTGGATATTAATGTGTTTAATTTATATACTTTTGTTACCGCACGGACCTTCTGGTTAACCTAATAGAAATTCTGGAACTTAGCGAGGGTGTAAATTAATATTATTCTTCAGAGATGCACGTCTTTTATCGATTTTCAAATAGTGGAGTGCCAATAAAAGGCCCAGCGTGGTGTTCGACGTGCGGCAAGAAATTCGTGTCCATGTCGGTGGTGGCGCGACACGTGCGCGACGTCCATGTACGTGAGCGGCCTTTCGCCTGTCGCGTCTGCGGGAAAACATTCGCGCAGAAAGAAGTCATGCTCCGGCACCAACATATTCATGAAGGTAAGTCATGATTTGTTAGGCTCGATTTACACTGAAGCGGAACGGAAGCGTATTTTGCCTCGCTGCGGGAGAGGGCGGAATAGGTGGATAGAGATATAAACCCTTGCAAAATGATTCATATTGTCAAAAAAATTTCGTTTATTTCATAAATCGAGAACCCAAATGTTCTTTTTCTCTTTATTTTTTCTTCTCTTGCTTCACAAATAAACAATATCCAAGTCCAATACCTTGTCATGTAAAAGATTTATACTGAACAACTGAACACCTACTTCAATGAGATTTGTATCATTTAAGGAATAAAGTACAATGTCCAGTAGAACATCAGTTTATATGATACTTAATTGATAAAGATTAATAATTATCTCCACGTTGCAATCGCAAGATATAAGGCTGCGGAGTTCAGAAAAATCACTAATGATAATACTAAAACTATTGGACCTTGAATTGTTGGTTATATTGCACTTTTGACATCAATGTTCGTGTTGGCAGCAGAGGAAATAAAATCCATCACAGGGAACTAGCCAGTGTTGATAATAATAATAATAAGTTTTAGACCACGGGAGAGACGAGAGTGTAAAATAAATATATGTAATAATAACGCACACAATCATAGCCGACCATTAGGGAAAACCTGTGACGCGGGTGCCATGCACATACATAAACAACCACAAATTACACCCACACTCACGACAGAAATAAATGTAGGCCATGCAAATATTTTTCCTGAACCGGAAATACTACGGTAACCGTGCGGTCTCGGAAGCAGTTATACAAGTGATTTGAATGTTTGTATTGTAGCCGAGCGTCCGTACAAGTGCGGAGAGTGCAGCAAGAGCTACGCGCAACGCGGCGCGCTGTTGGCGCATGCTCAGGCGCACCTTCCGACGCACGCGCGAGCCATCTCGTTGCACCAATGCCCTAAATGTCCAAAGGTCTTCCTCTACTCTTCCGGTTAGTATCAATAATTTCTATTACGATCACAGAACAATAAATACAGTAAAAGTGTTTAGTGGGCGTGGTACGTATGCCAACAGTACGCAAAGTTCCACATGTTCCGCTAAGGGTTGGATCGAACTTGGCCCGCCGCAAGATGACATGCGTAATGTGACCATAATTTTTTTCCTTCAGAACGGGACTTCTGTAAATTTATTATTGTTTTAAAAATTAAATAAATTTTTATGATCGTTACGAAATTTTAAATGATTAAAAAAAATACTAAAATAGTTTAATGATCAAAAACTTAAAAAAGATCTAATCTTGTATTGCCTGGTGGGCTGGTTTCATGTATTTTGCGCCATTTTTTTTCTTAATAATACCACGTGTGTTAAGTATTTTGAGGACAGCTAGACACGAAGCTTAAAAGCAGGACTGTCCCGTTCAAAGCGGGACGTATGGTCACGTTAGACATGCGTGACAAAATGCACACAGCGTAGTGGGGTATATATGTATATGGTAGTAGGTTTATACCCAATCAAAAGTAGAACGTCGTTTCCGAAACACCATTCTGTCTTAATTTAAAAAGCGAGAAAAAATAACTGTAATACTGTACGGTGTTTCCGTAACCTTATAAAATGATAGTTTGATTATTGTTAAGGAGGTTTATTTGCTTGATTACTAATTATGATACATTTAGATAGATTAATGATTTGAATCAGCACACCACGAAGATTTTTGAATGCAGTTTTCAGCTAAAATGAAAGGGAACCTATGTAGTTTTAGAAGTATATACAAATTTTCACGTACCACTATAAAATAAAGGTATTTTTTTGAGAATTTTGTTTTGCTATCACTATTCCTCGTAATCTTTTCATGTAAATTAATATGTCTTATTATGCAATATCGTTACAAAATATGTATAAAAACAAATCATGCCATGAAATTTAATTTTAAACTTCAAAGGATAAATTATAAAAGTTAAAAGGATAAATTGCTTTATAACTTATTCACTAGCCAGCGTAGATCTGGCCTGTTTTTTTTTTCACTTCAGAAAAAAACGGTTTTTTAACAACACTAGGCCCAGCAATCCTGGATTATATCAGTTTTAATGCAAAACGACTATCCATAAAATGACGATATCCTTCACGGAGTTTACATGGAGAAGATAAATGGTATAGAGTCTGTAAGCTACCACGGTAAGCTAGAAGACGTCGGTTCGAATCCCGCCGGATCGAAGGAATTTTCTCTGAGTGTTCGATCTTTGTATTAATAATTATAACAAGATAAATGGTCTTTTTAGAAGATACCTTTTTTTTAAATAACTTTTTATAGAAGTTTCCTAAAATAGTGGAAAAAAAAGTATGTTTAGATAGAAATTTGGTAGTAAATAGTTATATAAAAAAATTATATACTGCTAAAACCATGAAAAACGTAAAGTGGTCCAGCCAACCTGACGTCAGAATGGCTGGCCACTTTATTTCTTAATATTTCCGTTAGCGCAAACGTAGAAAATATGTCAATAAAGGTACTACATAGTAGAAAATAATAAGCAGTTTGATTTGTATATCTCGTTTGGTCCAGCCATCGTAACGGACACACATTTAAATGACAGGGCTCAGTCGCCACATGTCGACACACACCGGCCGGCAGTACGTGTGCGGCGGGTGCCGACGGCAGTTCAACGACAAGAGTGCCCTGAAACGTCACATGGCCACAGCAAATCACGGCTCGAACTTGCCTCCTCCGAATCTCAAGCCTGCACCTCGCTCCACGGCCAGCGACACTGCCGGATGAACTGTGACTCACGTTTAGAAATGTTTCTGAATGAGATACTCGACTAATGAACGTACTATGTACAGAACATTCGCAATATCGGTCAATGCCAGTGGTTCTCACCCTAGAGTTACGAATCCCTTGGAGGTCAAGCAATAAAAGGTAGTACTAAGAAATAGAAGGTAGAGCTATGAATCTCAACACATCGTTGACAAGACAGAGTTACTACACTGAACGCAATAATTCCTGTTGCCAATGAAAGCGTAAATGCAAACAGGGGGGTAGGATATCAATATTGAGAGTTTGTTATTCTACCTAACAAGTGGTAGGTACATAATTGATAACTAAGAAATGACAGTACGAGATTGTATAATTATCGGTCTATATAATTGATAATAAGCATTATAAGATCTTGGAGCTTACAGTGTTTACTTTTAATGAACTTGGCTTAATGTAATTTTATATTATTATGTAAATTATTTATATTCGGTTGTACATAATGCAAATATTTATTAATATTATGCAATTTTGTTACTCAAGAAATGAACTTAATTTGTACAAATAAAACTCAATTGGTATTATTTACTTAAAACATTTTATTGGAAAAAAAATTTCATCCTAGATTGAAAGGCAACATGGTATTGTATAATTTTAGAAAATAATGACAAGATAAATATCTCAATAATGGAGTGGGCGAGCGCCCGGCCGTGCGTCGGATGGCACAATGTTTCAACAAAACACAAGAGCATTTGCGATTATTTATAATTTCAAAGCCGAGTTAACGCCACCGCATTTGTAACTTATGGAATGCCTTTTAATCACTTAAATTAACATTATACACTTCCTAAAAGCATACAATTAGTAATTTTAGCAGCTATTTCCAATTTTGTTCAAGACAGTAGGACAGGTTTGATAGGCCGATAACATGTTGAGTAATTCGTGGCATTCTGTGGGCAACTAAACGTACCGGCTACACATACATAAGTAGTTATAATATCAGCATAAATTTATAGAACATCAGGTATTAAACAAAAGAAACTGTTCCGGAAACGATAATTACACTTGAAGCTCTAATTCAACTCCTATATCTAAAATATAAATGATTATAAAAATAAATAAGGGGCATAGCGCCCCCTCCCTTTCACCCCACTACTCGCACAGACACTTCGGACATTATTTTGTTTTTGAGCAAAACTCGCAAAATTTAAGTATCATCAAAAATATTGGTGTTTCACACGACAGTTATGTCAGTCTTGCTGGTATTCGAAGTGTTCTCGACCTAACCCGCCGCTCTGGGCACATACGTGACCTCGGTACATACAACACGTACCACTAAATAATCAACAGGGAAACTATAATAAAACGTAACTACCTCAAATTAAAAAGTTACTGCATAACTCGAGCACACAGCACTTTAGTTTATGACTCGCGTGTTACTTCCGGTACACAAAAATGATCCAAACAACTCTTTAAAACGACTTGTGTGTTAATTTGATTTTTGTAAAAGGCAAAACGATGTTTATTGTAAGGACATGATTCTATCAAGTATACATATTCGGTTATAGCACATTATGGTCTAAAATAAAATTACTATTAAGTAATAATCAATATTTACATTAATCCCCGACAACGACGTCCGACGAGTCCGATTGTTCGTGAAACACACGTAAGCACCAGTGCCGTACCTTTGAAATATACGTTGACAATCTCTTGACGCGGCTAAATATTTCCCTGGACGGTGTATAATATACATATTATGTATAATATACGTGGTCTTCTACTAAACACACTAACACTTTGTCATTTACACATCGGTCTTACACATTCGCTGAACACTTAGTTTGGTACATGAAGTTATCTTAACATACTATGGGAACATTCTACTTCACACACGGGATGAAACATTTGTCATTCGGTTGGTTTTGGCACTTTGCAGGTTCAATGAAGCGCCAGACCGTGCGTGTTGCTCGACACAATTATAACCTTTCATTAGTAAAGACTACAATTGCGTGCATGTATAGCTTACATTGTCTCGAATAACACTCAGAAGACTGTCGAAGACCTCAAAGGGTCGGTCACCTCCACACATTGAGAGTCGAATACCTTTTACAGAAAATAATATGAACTTTAAAAATAAGGAGTAACAAATTAACAATTTGTTGGGACATATACAGAGAATGGTTCGAAAGTGTTAGAGCTTATATAATATAATATAATGCGTGTAAAAGGTATCGAAGTCTCGACGTGTGTGGAGGGGAATGCAGTGCATCGGGCTTATGTTTACATGTTCTCGAACTGATCGACACGCCGCTTGGTGTTGCCTTTGCGGATCTCGCGCAGCGTCTTGTACTTGTCGCGGCCCTGGCGCACGTTCTCGCGGTGAATCTTGTCCATGGCCGTCTCTTTCGTTTCATCGCGCGATTGTGCCAGGTCTTGTTTCAGCGCCTGTGGTAATCATTGGTTAAGATCGTTAAGTCTTTTCAATATATCAGAATAAATGCTGGATTGCAAGCAACGGTCAGTGAAGACCAGGCGGAAAACCGCTCGAGCAATTTTTCAGAAACTAATTATATTATTTATACTAATTACTATTATTATTTATACAAATAACTGTTATTTAATTAAAAATATGCAACACTCTGGAGGGAAATTATAACTATGAAAAAATTAAAATTTTATGTACATTTGTAGGGTCTGCATTAACCCTAAACCGATGTCAAAAATATAATTTGTTCTACGTACGTACGACTAAAAGAAAATAAATATATGTATTTTACAGTAAATGAAGATACAATAACGGGGAAATTAAAATGTTAGTTTTTGTATATAGTCCAGTTGGTCATATACACTTATATTTCTGATTTCGAAGTAATTATTTCTGTATTTGATGTGAAACTAAAGTCATTTTGGACGTACTTCAAAAGAAGGTTCATTAAGTGATAACATCGAACTTTCGGAAAGCAATTAAAGGGGTTCGTTCACATTGAATTCCTAACAGTGGAAGAGGTCAAAGGTACCTTGAGCTGGTTGTGCAGGCGCTCGTTCCGCTCGGCCAGGGTGCGGCGCTCGTGCACGGGGTCGACGAGGTCGTCGGGCGCCTTCACCAGCTCGCCGCCGCCCGATTCCGAGCCGCCGTCCGAGTTGCCGTCGCCGTCGCCGCCCATGTCCGCGCCGCCTTCCGACACGTGGTGGTGCTGCGGCGTCGTGGCTGCCGCCAGCATGGCCGCCGCTTCGTCCTGCGACACCGAATCCAAATTAGATGACGAGATAGTTCAACAGTGGCTGTCGCAATTTGTGCCGTCACACTTCACTAGCGCCTTTCAGTCTACCCCACACTCCTACCAGCTAAAGTTGGTTAAAAACCCCTGTAATTTTAGTTGAATAACTGCTGTATTTTTTCTACTATAAATACCTATCACGTAACTAGACAAATGTAACATTTTTTAAACGCTAAACTAGGATCTGTCTGTCTAAGACTGTTAGTCTCTGCCTCTTGGTTGTAAAAATTCGTAAGTTTTGAAACTTATTAATTACAACATTTTGCATAATACGCACACTTAGTGCTTTGCGTGTGCATGCGCGCGCGTGAATACGTGCGTGTGTGTACGTACATGTGGGTACGTGCGCGCAATAATAAATAAAAAACAATTTGATTATAGTTTTATCTGATTATCTAGAAAAAAATATGAAATATTCCTACAGTCAAACTGTTGTCGTTCATTACAAACTGTTAACGCCACTATTTCTTACTAAGATAACGTTACCTGTTTACGACGGGCATCCTCCACCTCCTCTTGCAAACGGCGAGTTTCTGAATCCTTGATTGCGACCTCCTCTTGGATACGCGATACCTCCTCCTGCTTGGTGCGGATCTCCTCTTCGAGCTTGGCGCGCTCTGCCGCTTCCATATTCTAAACGTGAATAGTTTGATATAAAATCCTGATAACTGACAACAATTCAACTACAAAACAATAATTATCGTAATAGTAGCTTCCGAGGCAATTATTATTATTATTATAAAATGTAGTATGCAAGTGCGTAAAAGATTTGGTGGCCTCGTTTCCGCTTTCAGAGATTGCCTATTTACTTTTATGTCACTATTCTCTCGAACACTAAAAGTTGTGCGTCTTATATACTTACCACATATAATATAGGCTGATATATAATATCCTAAAATGATGTTCTGAAGTCTTATATTTTGATTTAATTTGACTTTTGATTTCGTACCTTTGTCTCCTCAAGGCGGGTCATCATGGCCTGCAACTCATTCTGGCGCCGCTCCAGCTCCTCCTTGGCGGCCTGCAGCTGACGCAGCTGCTCCTCCAGCCTTCGGATCATCTCCTGAGCTTCCACCAGATTGGCCTGTCGACATTAAGTCGTATTATTTATATGTCACCTAGTCTGGGAGGTTACTATTCCTTTATAATATTGTTTTACGACCTCAGTGGCTTAACGATTTGCACTGTGGGGTTGAATGAGCAGGTCCAGGGTTATCTTGGACCAATTTGGGAAAGGAACTTTTTTAAATTGGTTCTGTTCTGGGTGTTCTGGGAATTCGGAAATCCGGAAAAACCATTTTTTTTCCGGAACTAAATAGCGTATATTTGTATGTAAGCTACCTTATTCTCTAAAACAGAGACGCAGTAATGGTCACATACTGATTGGTGGCAGAAATAGGTAAGGTGATAGTCGGGTAGTACTTCCATGGACGAACTCTTTCACAAGAAGCTCTACTGCTACTAAATTAGACACTAAAGTACCTATAAAAGTGACCTAGGTGTGAATATTACAAGAAAAACCAAAAAAGTTTAACAGAATGAAATTCAAAAATGAAAATTTATAAATAAGGTATTTAATTTAATAACTTTTGTAAATATAGCGAAAACTAGGGTGGTTTGCATTAATATTAGACATAACTGGTCGACGACTTTACCATCTCAGTCACCTGTGATCACGGGACCTGGAAAGGGCCCGAAACGTTGGTTTGTTTGAAAAAACAAATATACGCGAATTTGGCGTCACTAAACGTCATTCCGCACCCCTCATGGAAGAATGGCATGGGTGCGATTCCACAATTTACAAAGCTATATTTGTTTGCTTGTATGTAAAGACGGATTAATGTAAGTGAAGCAAGAGATTGGGCAGAATAGTGCAAAGTGGCGATCGATAGTTTTTGCCTACCCCAATCGCAATCTAAAGACACGACTAAATGTTATATAATTTTTAATTTATTTTCAGTGTTGCAGTAATGACTAGAATGAAATGAATGATAAGAATGAAAATTTCAATTTTCGCTCAGTGTTAAGTATTATTATTATACCTTTTCAACCGACTTCAAGAAAAAGGAGGAGGTTCTCAATTCTATTGTATTATTTTTCTTGCATGTATGTTACGCGATTACTCCGTCATTTTGTAAACCGATTTTGATGATTTTTGTTTTGTTGCAAAGAGGGTACCTCAGTATTGGACCCACGTAACTTCGAAGAAAATATTACACCTCTTCGCCCACTTCCCGGTAACAGATTTCAATGAAACTTGGCAAATAGACGTAATTCTACGAGCTTTTCAGGTTGGTTTTTTTTTATTACAAACGTTACAATTATTATTCTTTAAAGTAATTTCTTCACAATATTTTTCTGGTCTCGCCATAAACGGTTTTTTATCTTCATTTAATTTTAGGACTTTTGTTCTAGAAAATATGCCAGTCCTATCACAACCTTATTGTAATTGTCATGCAATGCCATAAACGGTTGGGCTTAATTTTATTGAAGCGTTAGTTTTACCTTTTTTTTTGACTGCCTCCGTGGCCGAACGGTTACCATGCCGGACTGCCACGCAGAGGTCTCAGGTTCGATTCCCGGGCCGGGAGAAATATTTATATGGCCTACATTTATTTCTCTCGTGAGTTTGGGTGTAATTTGTGGTTGTCTATGTGTGTGTCCATAGCACCCGCGACACAGGGTTTCCCTAGTGCGGGGCTATGTTGAGTGTGTGCGTTATTATTATTATTACCTGAGAGCGTTCCATCTCCTCCTGCATCTGCCTGAGTCGGTCCTCGTACTCCTGTTGTTTCTTTTCTGCGCGTTCGCGGGCTGCGATCTCCAACTGCAGCTTCTCTCTATTCAAATACATTATCATGTCAAGTCGATTTGTAAAATTATACCTGTGGTACTTATGAATCGATATGAGAGTAGTCTAATTAAAAGATCGCACCTCTGAGCCTGCTTGGCGAGCTTCTCCTCGCGGGCCTGCGCCTTCATCTGCTGAACGTCGATGGTGTCGGGCTTGCGCCGACGCATGTACAGCTCGTGGTTGCCCATGCACAGCGCCAGGATGCGTTTGTTCACGCGCACGCGCGGGGCGAAGAACACGAAGTCCGGCGCCTTCTTGTCGATAGGCTTAATTATGAACTTGCGGTCGTTGAACGATATGTTGCGGATCTCTGACCAGGGGAATCCAATTTTTGGAGTCAATCTGGAAAGTTACAAATAAATAAATAAGTTACTTCTTTCTCCTGACTACGTGACAGGACTTTTAAATACATTGTTGTTTTGGTTCTTCATTTAGATATTACATTTGACAAATTTAAGATGACGGTGCAACAAAATGTCTGGTATATTTGTCAGGGTGTGTTATGGTGGCATTGGTATTCTCTATTGGGTATTTGTTGTACTTCAAAAAATATTTGACGTAGAGACAAACATAGAGACACTGACAAATAAGACTGTCTACATATCGACGCCGGAAAGCGATCTTGTCGTATCTTGAAAATGGGACTGTACACCGAGGCCGAAAAACTATTTGAAAAAAATATTTCTCTTTAATTTGAATTAGTAGAAAGTCAATTTTAAAGTAGGATGTATATAATCATACTTTAAAATTGACTTTCTACTAATTCAAATTAAAGAGAATTTTTTTTAAATAGTTTTTCGGCCCCGGGGTAAAGTCCCATTTTTCGAGATACGACAAGACAGCCGTCGATATGTAACCAAATAAAGAGGTAAAATAATGAATATGACCATACTGTGGACGGTTCACCTTCGTATAGGCAACTATTTGACTCCTTTGATGTGCGTCGAGAAACCGACCAGGGCGCGGTAACGCATTTTTCGTGTTTGCTGTATTCTTCGAATAGGCAAATACTTTGTCACACATGTTATCTACGCAGTGCCACCATTATGTGTATATCACTGTGCGAAGTAACAGAGTTCAATTTGATGATTGCAGTTAACATACAATGCTTTGTATTCTTTTTTAAACAAATATAAAAATAACATCAAGTGCCGGGACGAACAAGTCGTGCACCTGATGGTAAGCTACACGCCTGTCCAGAACAGTTACAGTGCCACTCAGAGCTTTAAATTGCAAAGATTTTAGGGGCACTACCACTGCGCCCGTCACCCTGAGACATAAGTTGACAAGTCCCATATGCCTGTAATTCCACCAGTACAGTAAAACCGGAATACAGTAATATTGACTTTACTGCTTTTCGGTAGAAATAGGTAATGTGGCAGTACTTCCCTGGACGAACTCTTTCAGAAAGAGCTCTACTGCTACAAAGTTTACAAGTTTTAAACGAATTGTGAATTAAGTGTCTGTACTCACTTGTCGTCTTTTTCATAGATGTTAAGTCCAAGAGCATCAACACCGAGCCACAGTTCCGTGTTCTTCTTGTTACGGATTTCGAAATAGTTGACGCCATACATTTCGAGGTCTTGCGCGATTTTGAGGTACTCCATCATGGCGTCTTCGCGCAACATGCCGCGGTGCTCTTGCCACCAGTTTGTGATGCTCTGTTCCCATTCTTCGCGGGACATCTGTGTGAAGAATATTGGATTATTTATTATGATGCTCCAAAGCACTGAGAAGGGTACTCAATTACACAGGTAACGTAATTGTTTGAAAATGACGGTGCAAACAATTTCGAACTTAATTCGTTAACTTTTTTGAAAATTGGGCAAAATTTATTTTTTTACACTGCTGGTTAAATAATTTGAATCATCATGCACTTTATCAAAGAGCTAGAACACAAAAATATTGTTATCATCGAAGAAAAAATTTACTCCTGTTGTGCGAGTTCAAATTTTCAACAAGGACTTATTATGGAAAAGGGTAATGTTCGGGTAAGTTTTTGTACTCAATATTGGTGACAATTTCTTTTTATTTAAATATTTATAGAGTAACATCATGAAGCGTTATTTAATATTCGAGTGTGGTAACCTGAAATATTCTTTAATATTTCACGATGATATGTTCGAGTAATTAAACAATAAAAATAGTCACCAAAATTGAGTACAAAAAGTTACCTGAAAATTACTGAAATGATGTTTAAGTATACTAGTTTAAAAATTGCGTAATAGTTTTTGACCACTCAGACGTCGTTTTTAATGGGGCATTTATTACTAATATGTAATGTGTCTCGAACTATGTGTCCGTAAGTGTAATTAGTTGAAATGCTCATCCAAGTTTGTACATCAAAGTGAAAAATTACTTAATTTGAATGCATTACGAATAAAAAACAAAACCCATTAAATCTGATTCAGTTGCAGCTGAAGTTAGAGGACTATAGAGTACATAATCTTCTGCCATAGCTCGTAAAGGATTATTGGTATATGCATTGTTAATAAACTTTAGTTTAAAAATTCAAATTCATTTCGAAATTCTGAATACAATAGAACAAGATTTTTTTTAACATTTATAATAAGATATACATAATAAGTATACAGATAGATAAACATTAAATAACATTATCATTATAACCGTTTATGATTGTAATCTATTTACAATTATGCAAAAACCTTGGAATGAAATAAATTTAAAAAAATACATACGATTGACCAGCAATAAGAATTATTAATTTAAAGGGTTGACACAAACCACTGTGCGAAAAACTTGAGAAATTAAGTATGTAAATTTAAAAATAGAAACGTTGAAAACAATGCTTAAAATTTTTAAAAGTTTATGACAGTATATAAAAGGCAGAACAGAGCCCCAAGTCCGCCAATTTTAAATCATCTCAGTTGTATGTCACCAGAATGGCAGGATTTTGTACGTTTGGTATTCTGCTACAAGTTAAGGGTAGTGGCTTGTCAGTGGCTATCCCTCGAGCTACTACTCAACTGTCATTGCAATTTTTTGGTATTCTGCTCTTCAATGGCGAGTCGATGGCACGTCGATGGCGTAGTGTATGGGTAATTTGTAAGTTTTTTGTACTCAATTTTAGTGACAATTTCTTTTTATTTAAATATTTATAGAATATCATCATGAAGCATTATTTAATATTCGAGTGTGGTAACATGAAATATTCTTTAATATTTCACGATGATATATTCGAGTAATAAAATAATAAAAATAGTCACCAAAATTGAGTACAAAAAACTTACCTGAAAATTACTGATTAATATTATATATATTTCATTTGAAGACTAAATTGCTGATTAAAAGAGATAAAAATTAAGCTATGCATTAGTAATTTCCATAGTAGTTTTAGTAAGGCAACATCGATAGTTAGTGATTGAATGCATGAATCATTGCCATTCCACTGATACTGTAGTAGATTTTAGCAGAATAACAAATATTATCATAATTGCAATGTAATCTCAATGGAACTACAATGAAGTGGTTTTATGAAAATTAGCAGAATTGGATCCCAGGTGTCATTCTATTAGAGACACACCTGTGTAACGATTTATTCAAATCAAATAATATCAAATCATTTATTGTGTCCGTACGTCTAGAAGGTCTTACATAACATTGTTGTGTCAGTGCGTATTGCCAATTTTATGGCATACAATTTGCTTAATTAAATTAATTTAACAGTATAATTTTAATTGCAAAATGTCAAATCTTAATTTTTATTTCAAGTCTTAATAATATCGCACATGTCATTATTTTGTCGTAGTTAATTATTATTCTATGTTATTGTCGGTCGGTCTAAAACGGTCTATCTCTATCTACAAAAAAATAACCATAATCATCATTATAAAGATTTGTAAAACAATTGTATAAAACATTTGTATAGCCGGTGCCTTCGAATTCTTATGCGTATACTTCGAGTAGCCCACTGTACGATACTAGTTTCCATAGTTTTATTGATCCTCAATACAAACTTTCATCACCTTTAGGGATGAACCCCTTTAAAATTTATTTTTGTGCCAAAAGTAGCCCATGACATTCTCCTAGGTACCATCTATCTGTATATCAAATTTGGTTCTATAGTTTAAACTTAACAGACAAAAATTACTTTCGCATTTATAATATTAGTTTGGATAAGTTTGGATGACAAGCTCTCGAAGTTATTGACAATAAAATTTTGCTTATTATCATTACAGTTATGTAATAAAATAACGCAAAAAAATTGTCTTCTTTTGAATTATTAATTTTTAAAAGCAGCGTAACATAGATGTGAAGGATTACCTTTTAAAATTTTCACTTATTCCGCAAGACTTCATGACACCAAATTTTCTTGATTTTTTTGTTATTTCGTTTTTGTTGAGTAATAAAAAAATATTTATGTACAACTGACCTTGTGCTGATCGGTGACGCGTTGTGGCAACAGACGGTCGTTCGCGAGGAACCCGGGTACATGTAACGCGGGGTTGTGGTCCCCATGCCGGGCCTGCACCGCGTACGACGCCAGCAGCACGGACGTCTCCGGCGGGCAGTATATCTCGTCAGAGAGGATGGCATTCTTCACCTGTGACACAGATTATTACGAACTTTATTATTATATATATATTAGTTATTTAGAAATAATTAATATTGTAGGAAACCATATAAGTCAATATTTTTTGCTAAACCTACTGAAATGATACTATGTGACGGTAGGACCAAGTTGTGCGACTGGTTGTAAGCGACACCTCTGTTCATAGCAGTTAGAGCTTTAAATTGCAAAGATCTGAAGGGCAATGCCACCCGTATCCCTGACACATAAGTTAATAAGTCCTATGAGCCTGTAATTTCACTAGCACCTTTATCCTTTTATTGTGCCGCCATGTTTAAATTAATAAATGTTGGTAAATTTTTAGTAACAATAATATTAAAAAAATAGGCTTTTCGTGTTTGTGCAAAATAGTCTCACATTAATTTTAATATTAGAGTTAAGTCAATTTAAAAATGTGGACCAATAATTGCTGGTCAGCTTCTAGCTGTTTTATAGAAATTGTTTAAAGAAGGTTACCTGAAGGTAGAAGAGCTTGAGGGTGATTTCCTGGATGAGTTCGTCAGCGACGTCTTCGGGGTAGAATTTGGCCCGGAACTTGAACTGAAGCGGGTTCTCTTTCTTCACGTCTTGTTGCATTACCTGGAAGAAAACGTGACTTCGTTATTTGTCGGATACTTTATAAAGCCTGCTAAGTACAGTGCATTGGCGTCATAACTGCAGTAATTAAATCACATCTATGTAATTTAGGTCGCATGATTGGTCGCTTTGAATTATCTACATCACTCTTAATGCGGAGATAAGTATAGGAGAAACGTCCATGACGCCTATTTCAATTGATGATTAACTGCCTCCGTGGTCGAACGGCCACCATACTGCCACGCAGAGGCCCCAGGTTCGATTCCCTGGCCGATAGAAATATTTATATGGCGTACATTTATTTCTCTCGTAAGTTTGGGTATACTTTGTGGTTGTTTATATGTGTCCATGGCACCCGCGATACAGGGTTTCCCTAGGGCTATGGGAGTGTGCGTTATTGTGTTAAAACACAACTTTAATAATCTCTCCTTTGCGATAGACGGTTACCGTGGCCAGATTTGCTTATAATTTATTTAGATATTTTTGAATACTTTTAACTAACTTGACTTTAGTAACCGACTGTACTAAGGATACAGCACACTTCACTCCAAGTAGCAACAGGACCAACAGTCGATTAATATCACGCGTGTCTTACCCATCTGGAGAACGGGAGCGACCCTGACTTCGATGTGTGCCAGGAGGTCCAGGGTAAGCGTTAAAAAGGCAACAATTAATTACAATTCAGCGCTTCCCGCGAAAATTTATTTGCATGGACGTATCCAGAAATTTTGCTTTTATGGAGTATGTAATGAAAACATTGACAACTCTGTTCATCTCCATATAAAGTACATAAAGAACGGAACTTGTTTTGATGCTATTCGTTGGAATATTTTCTATATTCTTTAACAAAAGTCTGGATACGTTCACGTTTGCACAATATTTCTATACATTATGTAAGTGTCTAGTATAAATTGTATATCTAGTGCATATGTTTACGTTTAACAAACATTTGCTTTCATTATCCTATCGCCTAGTAACACACAAATACGTCAGCACCAGCAAACAATACAATAGAGATACATCTATTAAATAGTAAACTACTGAGTTGGATGAGGGTGTGACGGCTGGGAATAGCACCTTTATTTCCGTTGTATCACACTTAAGATAATAATATTTTACCATGGTGTCATAATGCCACTTGTACACTAATTTAAACGGTGTGAAAATTGTTTGCTTGCTATTTGAGGGCAATAAAGCAACTATCGACGAAAACATGGCGAAAAGTGGTGCATCCAAAACTATTTCAGCAGTATAAGACTATTCGTCGCTAGAACACGGCTCTTTGCCGGTCTGCTTTGTTAGATAATGGGCCATAATGTCACACTAAGAAAGTAGTACTTCATTCGTGTAATAACATCATATTATGACAAATTTTCAATAAGGTGCTATTTAATTTTTTGGTTTGACAGTATCGGTTTTTGTTATTGAGCAGTATGTAGAAAAGAACAGCTATGCTCCTGAAACTTTGGTTTTGTATCTGTAACATTGATATGTACGTAACTACATGGTAGTATTTACATAATCTCGTAAAGCTACACATTTCTAGGTGCTTTGTCATCAATCAGTACAATTTTGTTTGAAATATGTCACTGATTTTAAAAATAATGTTCCCTCTTTAAATAAACAGAATCTCGAAAATCTATGCGTTTCTTGAATGGTACGCAAATTTAAACTTTTCGTTGTAATAAGTTTTTGCAGGGAAATGAGTTTTTTTTGTCATATGAAAATATGATGGAACCAATTAGAAAATAATATTGCTAACCCTGAACCGATAATCGTGTTGTGTTGTGTAGTTAATTGTTGTGGCATTTGCGCCACAATTTGACACTTCGGGTGTTGAGGATGTGGCACATCGGGAATAAAATCACCATTATTGTATGATACTTTTGCTCATTACTTTAGACATATTAATGGTAGAATAATGTTCTTAGGACAATAAAAACGAATTCATAATACACAGTAGTTGGTTGGTTGTCCGATTTAAGTGTCTATAGCAAGCTTTATAGTCAACAATAGCGTGCTAAGGGCTAGCTACAACTCACAAACGTCTTAAGATGGCGTGTCATAAAGTCAATATCCCCTCATTAGCCGCTTTATTAGCTAAACCGTTAAACATCATTAACCGACTTCACTGGGTACGAGTAATATTTTTAATTGAAGAAACTGGGTTATGGTAGTTCACTGGTTCTTTCTCAACTATGTATATATGCAATACATATAAAATAATTGGTATACACATTTTCTTGCGCTTGTTAGTTTTTAGCTTTTTTATGATTGTAAAGATCTATGAAGCACAGCCACTGCGCAGGGACTTGAAAGTTGACTATCCATTGGGACTGTAATCTTATTAGCATCCTTCAAAAGGCTTGCTTGTAAACTATCGCTTGTCTCTTCAACATTATTTCGTGACTGTGAGGAAATCGAATTACCAGAATAAAATATCGTGTTATGTCTTTTGTATTTTTGGTTCTCAATATTGCACTGTGAACACTAGCCTCACAATTGTACTCGTTCTCAAATGGTGATTCCATGACTGGCGAAGTACATTCTTTATGCATACATTAGCGACATGGCAACGTCCTTGGTCGCAGGTAGAATGACCTCGTCTTGAAGATGCTTATCGGAATCACTGGAAAGTCGACAAACAACACGTTTAATAAGCAAACTGACGTCATAATGACTTCGTGATTTTAGAAGGTAGCTGTACACGGTACCTCCGAAATTACATGTGTCTAAGGCTCGTATTCTAGAACTCTACTCAATGCTCAAGTCAGGATTTGAGTATGGTTTAAAGCATTCGAAATCATACTCAAGTCCCTGCCATTAGGGTCGTATTTCCAGTGCTTGTGTTTCAATTGCAATCCTGACTTGAGCATTGAGTAGAGTTCTAGAATACGACCCTAAGAGTCGTATTCCAGAATTATACTCAATGCTCAAGTCAGGATCTGAGTATGATTTCATGCACTGGAAATACGACCGTAATGGAAGGGAATTAACCATACTCAAATCCTGACTTGAGCATTGAGTAGAGTTCTAGAATATGACCCTAATAATGCATTCTAAGGGTCGTATTCTAGAACTCTACTCAATGCTCAAGTTAGGATTTGAGTATGGTTTAAAGCACTTGATATCATATTCAAGTCCCTGCCATTAGGGTCGTATTTCCAGTGCTTGTATTGCCAGTGCAATCCTGACTTGAGCATTGAATAGAGTTCTAGAATACGACCCTCAGTGTCTCAAATAACTGCTATTAGTTTTAACAACAAATATGGATCTCCCATTTAAAAGGTACTTACGTTTAACCACAAGGGACAGGTCAAAGGCAAGGAACTCGGCTTTGTTTTTAAGATGACATTTTGATCATTCTAATCTAACGTGATTTCGGACTAAATCGTCGCCTTACTTTCTCAAACTCGAATCTTAAAGCACAAAGTTACTGAAATGCAAAATTGGATAGTATATACAAATTTTGCAGGCTGATTTCACGTCACATTTCCTTAATATTCACATACTGGCTTTTATCTATTCTTAAAGTGATGCATTCAAATTAACACCCATGATAAGAAATTTAAAATAAATAGAAAGTTTTGCGATCTCCTGTATAATCACTCTTTATAAGACACGAGTTTGGAAAAGTAAGGTATCGATATGGCATTTTCCCTTGTTTCCCTTTTATTTATTTTATAACGGACACCGGTTTTGCGAAATGACATTTTCAAGTATGTACCAATCAAATTCCGAAAACATCATAGTAACATGTTATCGTTAGATGTAATGGAATCCGACCGTAGGATTACCGATAAGATACGGCAAGGCAAAGAGATAAGGGCAATTATAGCATGCTTATTCATTAGGCAATCAAATATTGCCCACATTTAGCCATTTGATTGTTTGTTAAATCTCGATATTGGCACATGTTCTTCTTCTGTAAAGTTTTACGGTTTCGGTTTTACTGATAAGTTGGACTCTGATATCAGTTTTCCGTGGCTCGGTCGTTTAGGGACGAAAGGACACGATCGTGAAGAGTGTACTTGAGACGATTGAGCGTGATTTATGCTAGGAAGGAGGTCCAAAAGATTCGAGCGGTCTCCAAGTAGCTGAATAGCGTCTTTTGGTATCGGAGGACAAGCTTAGCATCGCTGACAATAGTTTTACGATGATTCAAAGTTCGTTCAATAATTATTAATCATTAATCAATAATATTATTAACATAATATAAATGGAAGAATGTCTTAAGAGTTTGAAATTGGTACGAGCGCTAGCAGCCTACGTGACAAATCACTGTAACATAACTTCAACTTACGTGCTAAACGAACAATTACTATAAATAGCTACTTACGATAATGCTTTGCTTAGTTAAGTCGGATGAGCTCAACAAAATAAGTTGTCATAATAGAGGAAAATGTAAAGTAATAGCTATGCAATATGCATAAGTATAGCATACACCTCCCAATCGGTCTCCTGTTTATTACAAAGGTTATATTAGCGAAGGAAAATCAATACAAGTGGAGCTCTAGCTTATATTACTCGCTAACTCCGCAAAGTATTTTTATTAGGTTTTAATATTACTGTAAGATGTTTTGAGCTTGTCTTAATTGGCTAGTAGCCGAGCTTGAGGAAACCTGGTCTTACGAGGTCGTCAGCTCGATCGTAAGCAGCTTCCTCGTCATCTTCCTCAGGTGAAATCATCTTCTTCACTGCTGTTGCGATGCATCTGGCTGTCTTCTCCACTATTGTATCCGGCTTATATTCAAACAATACGTTATTGATCGTCAATAGTTTTGCGGCGTTAAGTAATAGATCTGGAAATACCTTTCTTAATGTTGCTCTTACTCTATTAAACTCAAATTTAAGATTGGATAACACATTCTCACGGTCGTATTGCCACTTATCTATTTGACCACTACTGATTGAATGCAATTGAACTGTTAACGTCCTAAAGTAAATTAATTTAATGATGATGCCACTACATTCAATTTAATCCAATTGTCCCAGAATCCATT